AGATCATTAATGGGACTCGATGAAGAGAAGGCAGAACACAGATGCTCTTACCTGGGATGAATTTGATCAGATATTCCAAGACAAGTACTTTCTTGAATCGGTCCGAGACAAGATGAGTGCTGATTTTCTTGCTCTACGACAGGGTAGCATGACAGTGGTAGATTATGAGAGGTAGTTTGATGAACTATCCCACTATACCACAGAGNTTGAATCGGTCCGAGACAAGATGAGTGCTGATTTTCTTGCTCTACGACAGGGTAACATGACAGTGGTAGATTATGAGAGGTAGTTTGATGAACTATCCCACTATACCACAGAGTTCATATCGACTAAGGCCAGGAGGGCAAAATGTTTTGAGCAGGGCTTGAGGCCTACCATCTGGGAGAAACTTGTGGGACATAAGATCCGAGACTATGGGGATTTGGTTGATAGAGCTGCACTGGTGGAAAGGGANGAGTTCATATCGACTAAGGCCAGCAGGGCAAAATGTTTTGAGCAGGGCTTGAGGCCTACCATCTGGGAGAAACTTGTGGGACATAAGATCCGAGACTATGGGGATTTGGTTGATAGAGCTGCACTGGTGGAAAGGGACAAGGAGGACAACCAGCGACGACAGAACTTCGCTAGGGGAGGTCCGATCCGGACGGGTGCTAGCAGTAATAGAGTATAGAGACCGGCACCTTACCGTCGCCTAGACCCGGTGGCTGGACAGAGACTTCAGACAGTTCAAGGAGATGGGGTTACTCAGAATCGAACAGGCACTGACCCTCGTCAATGCTTCACATGTGGAGGTGTCAGGCACTTCAAAAAGAATTGTCCATCGCTTCTACCAAGGACTAATCAAGCCGCTGGACAAGTAAATGCAAACAAGCCACCACTGCTGAAACCACTACATCGGAGACCATTAGGAGCTATAGCACCCTGTGGTGCCAATCAAGAGAGAGTATTTGCTTTGACTCAACTTGAGGAAGATGCTTCCAATGCCATTGCAAAAGGTATTGTTCTTCTCTACAATTCTTGGGCCTAAATGTTATTTGATCCTGGTGTTACTCATTCATTCATATGCACAACATATGCTCTTAATTTGGGATTGAAATTTGAGAAGCTAGAATATACCCTAAGTGTTGACATGCCTACGGGGGAACGGTTGGATACTAGAATGGTGTGTAGAGGTTGTGTGCTTTGAATTGGGGAGCAGGAGTTAATTGTAGATTTGGTTGCATTAGACATGAAGGGGTATGACATCATATTTGGGATTAACTTGTTGTCTACTTTCTGTGCAGTAATGGATTATTTTTGTAAACAGATTTCATTTCACTTACCGGGAGGAGTAGTTTTCAGTTTCATGAATGATCAAAATTCTTCCCGTCCATTTCCTACTACATGTAGTAGATTCTTGATAGCTAAGGCAGGAAGCAACTTGAGTTTCTTGGCTAGCTTAATGGGAGATGATCGGGATAAATCCCCGTTTGGCGTGGTACTGATAGTGTCAAATTTTTAAGATGTCTTCCCAAATGAACTATCCAGGTTACCCCCATAGAGAGAGATTGAGTTTACCATTGATCTCTATTCGGGAACCGAACCCATATCCATTGCTCCCTCTAGAATGGCATCTTTGGAGTTGAAGGAGCTAAGGAAGCAGTTAGACCAACTATTGGCGATTGGGTTTATCCGTTTAAGCACTTCACCTTAGGGAGGCCCGATCTTCTTTGTGATCAAGCACAACAAAATACTTCGGTTATGCATGGACTACTAAAGGTTGAATCGGGTGATAGTGAAGAATAAATATCCATTGCCACGAATTGATAATTTGTTCGATCAGCTAAGGGGTTCTAATCATTACTCCAAGATTGATCTTCGCACAGGGTACCATCAATTGCAGATCAAGGAGGAAGATATTCCTAAGACAGCTTTTTGTACCCAGTATGGTCATTTTGAATATACGATAATGCCATTCGGATTGACTAATGCTACTGCAACCTTCACGAATTTGATGCATAGGGTATTTCGGCTATATCTAGATCAGTTTGTCATTGTATTTATTGATGACATATTAATCTATTCACGGACACAAGGGGAACATGAACACCATCTTACGGTAGTGCTTCAAACCTTGAGAGACCATAAGTTATATGCCAAGATGAGTAAATACGGGTTTTGGATGAAGGAAGTGAAATTCCTTGGCCATGTTGAGTCAGAACAGGGTGTAGGTGTTGACCTTGCANAGTTCTGGATGAAAGAAGTGAAATTCCTTGGCCATGTTGAGTCAGAACAGGGTGTAGGTGTTGACCTTGCAAAGATCAAAGCCGTGATGAAATGGGAACCACCGAGGAATGTGACCGAGGTACGTAGTTTTCTGGGACTAGCAGGTTACTACCAGAGGTTTGTGGAAGGGTTCTCAAAGCTTGCAATGTCGATGAATCGCCTTACGAAGAAGGCAAAAAGATTCTTATGGACTAAAGAATGTGAACTAGCCTTTCGCACCTTGAAGGAAAGGTTGACAACAGCTCCTGTCCTCATTATTCCGAGCAGTGAGGAAGGATACGATGTTTACAGCGATGCTTCATTATGAGGTTTGGGATGTGTGCTAATGCAAGGAGGTAAGGTAGTTGCTTATTGCTCGAGGCAACTCAAGATTCATGAGCAGAACTATCCCACTCATGACTTNGTGAGGAATGATACGATGTTTACAGCGATGCTTCATTTTGAGGCTTGGGATGTGTGCTAATGCAAGGAGGTAAGGTAGTTTCTTATTGCTCGAGGCAACTCAAGATTCATGAGCAGAACTATCCCACTCATGACTTAGAACTTGCCGCNCCGAGCAGTGAGGAAGGATACGATGTTTACAGCGATGCTTCATTATGAGGTTTGGGATGTGTGCTAATGCAAGGAGGTAAGGTAGTTGCTTATTGCTCGAGGCAACTCAAGATTCATGAGCAGAACTATCCCACTCATGACTTAGAACTTGCCGCTGTGGTTTTTGCGCTTAAGTTGTGGAGGTGTTACTTGTGTGGAGAAAAGTTTCAAGTGTTTTCTAATCATAAGAGCCTCAAGTATATATTCACCCAGAAAGACTTGAATCTTCGGCAAAGAAGGTGGATTGAGTATCTAGAAGATTACAATTTCACANCATAAGAGCCTCAAGTATATATTCACCCAGAAAGACTTGAATCTTTGGCAAAGAAGGTGGATTGAGTATCTAGAATATTACGATTTCACACTCAACTACCATCCGAGGAAGGTGAATGTAGTAGCAGATGCACTGAGCAGAAAGTCTCGGGGTGAAATCAATGTTCTTCCTGTTAATAGGTGGAAGATGATTGAGGCCTTGGAGGAATTTGATCTATGGGTGGATANAGGAAGGTGAATGTAGTAGCAGATGCACTGAGCAGAAAGTCTCGAGGTGAAATCAATGTTCTTCCTGTTAATAGGTGGAAGATGATTGAGGCCTTGGAGGAATTTGATCTATGGGTGGATAGACAGGGGGATCGATCATGCTTATTTTATCTTATAACTCAACCAATTCTTCGACAAAGGATTGTAGAGTTGCAACGATTAGACACCGAGTTGGGAGCTATCCGGGGTAAATTGGAGAGGAATGAGATTGTTGAGAATTGGTCGATACAGAATGATGAGTTACAGTTTTGTGGAAGACTGTGTACTAAATAATGACCAAGTAAGGTAAGAAGTGTTGGGTGAGTGCCATCATTCAAACTTCTCTATACATCCAGGTAGTACCAAGATGTATATGGACATGAAGAGTCAATATTGGTGAAAAGGGATGAAATAAGACGTGGCTAAGTACACGGTGTGTCAGCAGGTGAAGATTGAGCATCAAAAGCCCAGAGGATTATTACAGTCCTTGCCTATTCTAGAGTGGAAGTGGGATCACATCACCATGGACTTCGTGTCGGATTTTCCATGGTCTTCACGCAGTCATAATGCCATATGGGTCATTGTAGATAGACTTACCAAGTCAGCTCATTTCTTAAGTATGAAGACCACGGACACTTTAAAGACCTTGAGCAAGCTCTATATTCATAAGATTGTTAGATTACATAGAGTTCCGCTCTCTATTGTTTCAGGTCGTGATTCTCATTTTGTGGTACAATTTTGGCAAAGTCTACAATGAGCTATGGGGATAGGATTACACTTTAGCACCGCCTTTCATCCCCAAACGGATGGTCAATCCGAGAGGGTAATACAGATTTTGGAGGATATGTTACGAGCTTTTGTGTTGGACTTTAAGGGATGTTGGAGTGATCATTTGCCGTTGGTGGAATTTGCATATAACAATAGCTATCAGACAAGTATTGGAATGGCTCCTTATGAAGCATTGTATGGAAGGCCATGTAGGTCCCCGATTTGTTGGTTAGAAGCTGGTGAGAGTAGCTTGTTTGGGCCAAAAATTATTTAGGAAACTACGGAGAAAATTCAACTCATCTGGGAAAGACTAGGCATGACTCAAAGTAGACAGAAAAGCTATGCGGATAGAAGAAGATGACCTTTAGAATTCCAAGAGGAGGACTATATGTTCCTTAAGGTGTCACCGAAAAAGGGAGTGCTTAGATTTGGCAAGAAAGGAAAATTAGTTCCAAGGTACATCAGACCATTCGAAGTGATCAAAGCAGTGGGCAGAGTGGCGTATCAAATTCGGTTACCAGCTCAGTTGTTAGGAGTGCATGACGTGTTCCATGTATCAATGTTAAGAAAGTGTCAATCAGACACAACGCATGTCCGATATATTAATGTCCGATATTGTTTTTAATTATCAAGTGCATTCAGGTTATCCATATTAAATTTACATTTGATAAAGATAAGGTTTGGGAGTGTCTCTGGATAAAGATAAAGCTTCTTCACCACACACAGCTACTCGGGCCCACCGGAGAGAGAAATGGAATCGAGCAAAGATTCCTACGAAACATGAATTGAGGTCACACACATGCGCTCTGTTCTCATGATGGTTCAAGAAGAAGGGAACGATCCATCTCTTGATGTACCTTAAGATCTACCGAATCGTCGACTACGTCTAAAACGTCACAAGTTCTACCATGGCCCACAAGAATATACCCCACAAGTTCTACCATGGCCGCACTGGTCGTGTCTAGAAAGTCACCAAGCGCGACATAGCCGTCGAAGTCAAAAAGCAGGCTGCAAATAGGATCTTCAAGAAGAGGATCCATGTTCGTGTGGAACATTTTCAGCCATCCGGGTGCACCGAGAAATTTAAGCTGAGGAAAAAAGAAAAATGACGAGTTGGAGGCAGGGGCTAAAGCTAGAGGTGAAATAATTAAGCACAAAGAGGGTGCCAATAATGGGGTATGTTGGTGTCATTTTAATGGGGATATTCAATGATCTTTTGTAGACTTAGGTTTTAGGTGGTTTGAAACATTCTGTAATCAAATTTGTTATTTAAACATAATATATTTATATTCATTAATTTTAGTACACTTTATGAGTTCACTGTTTTTGTGTTCACTGCGTGAATTAAAATTTTTAAATATTTTTTTATTTTTTTGGGTTTATTATTTTTTTATATATGTCAATCAATTTTATCAATTAAACATCTATATATATATATATATATATATATATATATATATATTTACTATCTTTGAGTTCATTGTCTTGAGTTTACTATTTTTGAGTTCACGATCTTTAAGTTCTCTCTTTTTAGTTCACAGTCTTTTAGTGGTAAACAAGGAGTTTCATTCTATTATCGTTCATAATTTGTAAAAATTTTAGACAGTGAACTAGAATTTTTTTCTTATTGTGTGGCTTAATATGTAAACCCCTACATGTTTATAGTAATATAATGATAAAATTGTTTACTAATTTAATATATGTGATGACGTAGGAATGAACCATTAGGTTATAACCGTAGAAAATGTTAATTGTGTAAAAACCAGGTAAGTATATGAAATTGTTTGTAATAGGACTTGTACCAACTATGTTTGATGTACAAATGTATATGTTGTATAAGTTTGGGTTGGTTTTGGAAGGGTTTGAAATAGATTTGAAATGAAAAACAGGTGAAACGGGCAAAAATGGACAGACAGTACCGATATAGTGTATCGGTACACTCCTGTCCAGCGAGCAGACCGACCCGGTACACAGTACCGGTACACTCTGTAAAACCCAAAAATTTTAAGTCACGATCTGTGGTCCATTTTTTGCCCTATAAATACTTAAAGACACCTCCTTTAGTCTCATTTCAACATTTCTAACCCTAGAAAGGCTAAGAGAGGAAGAAAGAAGGGGAAAAACAAGAGATTCAAGGGTTGATTCAAGTTGGGAAATATCAAATCTTCATCTTCTTCACTTAAAACGAAGGAAGCAAGGTAGGAGTTTCTTCCATTCTTAACCATTGAGGCTAGGGCTTATATGTATATGTATATTTTTACTCTCATTTATATATGTATGCTATGAAATCATTGTTTCTTGTTATTTTTGCAATGATTACCATGTTTTAAACAAAGCTAGGGTTAGATAACCATGAAAACTCTTTTCTTGTCATAAAACCCTAGTTTCCAAGAGAAAGGGATTTTTCTCTCGATTTTTCCCTTGTTCTTGATTTCAAAAATTTAGTGCTTTGCAATGAACAATAAAAATGGGCTGTTGATGATCTTTTGGTTATTTTCTTAAATTGTTCTCTTGTAATACAAATTATGAAATTTGGGAATTTTGGATTTCCTTGTGATTTGAGAAAATGTTTGTTATTGCATCTCTTGTATGGTTGTTGTGATGGACTTGAATTGCATTCGAGCACTACCGTAGAATGTTAAAGGTTAGTCTATCCTAGTGGGGGTGAGATAGTTTCCTAACACTTGTAGTGGTTTGTTGTTTGTGAGAGCAACCACTATTGTTCACGTAAGTTTGAGGCTGAGGGATGGTATACCTTTCCTGGGAAGGATTCGTCAGTGTCGTGAGAGACGGTATACGCCCTTCCTAAAATGTTTGGGATTGTGTGATTGTGGTGGGTGAACGAGGTAGAATAGTGGTATAGATTCATAGGAAGCAACGAACATACTTGAGAATATGGGATGACGTTATTGAATGATTATTTGATTTCTATCACTCCGACATGCTTATTCCTTTCATTTAAATTATTGTTATTGAGTTAACTTGAGATCAAATAAATTGTCACTGTTTTATTTTAAGTTATATATGCTATTTTGAAAGGTGAGACCGAACTGTTTTATATTTTTTTTCTAAACCTTGTTCGAGTTTGGGAGGATGTTGCTACAAAACTTAGTGCTCACCCCCTACAAACAACATATTTTTTAGATTTTGTACAAGAGGAGGAGCTCAGAGTCGATGAGCCGGTACATTGGAAAGTTCCACTAGATGNTTATGGGATGACGTTATTGAATGATTATTTGATCTCTATCACTCCGACATGCTTATTCCTTTCATTTAAATTATTGTTATTGAGTTAACTTGAGATCAAATAAATTGTCACTGTTTTATTTTAAGTTATATATGCTATTTTGAAAGGTGAGACCGAACTGTTTTATATTTTTTTTCTAAACCTTGTTCGAGTTTGGGAGGATGTTGCTACAAAACTTAGTGCTCACCCCCTACAAACAACATANAAACTGTTTTATATTTTTTTTTTAAACCTTGTTCGAGTTTGGGAGGATGTTGCTACAAAACTTAGTGCTCACCCCCTACAAACAACATATTTTTTAGATTTTATACAAGAGGAGGAGCTCAGAGTCGATGAGCCGGTACATTGGAAAGTTCCACTAGATGGGCACATGGATCCCGAGGTGGATGCTTAGGGCTATACTCTCCTACGTGACAGACTAGGAAATTCCTTTTGAGACTATGTAAACTCTAATCTTTTGTTATTCCACTGCAAAGTTCAAATTTGATTATTGTAGATGTAATTGTCATAGTTCATCATTTTCTTTTGGATACAAGGGCCATGTTTGGCATATTCTTTTGGGATGATATTGTAAATATTATATATGATGAATGAAATTTTCTTTAATGATAGATTTTATTAGTTGCTTTCGTGATGTGAATGATTTTAGATAGTAATGTCGTCCCAGGTGGCTTTTGGGGGCGTTACATAATATTTATAAATATTTTTTTTCAATTTTTTGAATTCATTGTTTTTGATATATGTGCATTCCTATTTTCGAGTTCATTGTCTTTGACTTCTCTGTCTTGAGTGTGCGTGTGGAGGGACAAAACATAAAGGAGAGAAAAAGTAATTAAGAATGAGATAAATGAATTTAAATAATATCTTTAAATAAGGATATTCATGTCAATTGGTGGTGGTGGTGGGCGGCGGCAATAGTGGTAGTAGCGGTGGCGATGGTGNTTTTTTCAATTTTTTGAATTCACTGTTTTTGATATATGTGCATCCCTATTTTCGAGTTCATTGTCTTTGACTTCTCTGTCTTGAGTGTGCGTGTGGAGGGACAAAAGATAAAGGAGAGAAAAAGTAATTAAGAATGAGATAAATGAATTTAAATAATATCTTTAAATAAGGATATTCATGTCAATTGGTGGTGGTGGTGGGCGGCGGCAATAGTGGTAGTAGCGGTGGCGATGGTGGGTTTTGATTGACGGTATTTAAATTCACTGTCTTTGAGTTCATTGTCTTTGAATTTGTAATTTTTTAAAAGTTTAAATTATACTTCAACACAATTTAAACTATAAATTAAAAATTTATAATTAATCATAATATATTATATTTTTTTAGGTCTTCATAAAATAATGTGTTCAATTACTAAATTTCGTTAGTTTAGTGTCATAGTTGATTTCTCGATTCTTGGTAGTAAAACTTAAGGTAAAAGATAAAATTTGTATTTTATTGCTGATTGTAGTTCACTGTTTGTGAAATTTTTTGACATTGAATTAGTAGTTTTATTTTATTAAAGTTTACTGTTTTTTGAGTTCATTGTTTATTTTTTTAAATATTTTTATAGTTCACTATTTATATTTTTCTCAATATTTTTTGAGTTTTCTATTTTTCATATATATTTATCAGTATAGATTTTCAATAGTTTTGTTGTTCACTGTTTGAAAAAATTTTAGACAGTGAATTAGGAATTTCATTTTATTAAAGTTCATTAATTATAATAAATATTTTCTCAATAAAAATTTTCAATACTTTTGTTGTTCACTGTTTGTGAAAATTTATTTTTGATAGTGAATTAGGAGCTTCATTCTATTAAAATTCATTGTTTGTGAAAATTTTGTGAACTAGAAGTTTTATTCCATTAAAATTCACTGTTTATATTTTTAAAATATTTTTTAGTTCACTTCATTATTTTTTGTGGTGAGATTTGGGTGGTGGTGATGGTTTGTGGCAATGGTGGCACAGTTGGGTGGTGGCGGTGGTTGTTCACTATATTTAGTTCACCGTATTTGAGTTCAGAGGAAACAAGGAGTTTCCTTCCATTAAAGTTTACTATTTGTACAAATTCTGTTAACTACAAATTTCATTATATTATTATTCACTATTTTTTCAATTTACTGTTTATGTTTTTTCAATATTTTTTTGAGTTTATTGTTTTTGATATATGTTTTCAAGACTACTATTTCACTGTTCAAAATTTTCACAAACAGTGAATTACAAAAATATATAAACTTTACTGTTTGTAAAAATTTTGTTAACTAAAAGTTTCATTATATGAAAGTTTACTATTTATATTTTTTTAATATTTTTGAGTTTGCTAATTTTCACTATTTTGGGTGGTGGGTGATGGTTGGCGACGATGGCGGGTGGTGGTGGCAGCAGGTAGTGGTTCCGACAGGTAACGGTGGTGGGTAGTGGTCATGAGGTGGTGGTGGGCAGTGGGCAATAGTGATGGTGGTGGATTACAGTGGCAGGTGAGGGGGTGGCGGCGGCAAACGGTGATGGTGTTGGTGGTGGTTGTGAGCGATAGTGGTGGTGGTGGTGGTAGTTGAGGCGAGGGATGGTGGTGGTTGGCGGCAATGGTGGCGGTAATAGATGTGGTTGGTGGCGATGGTGGTGAAGGTGGTGTCGATTGTGTGAGGTGGCGAATGGTAGTGACAACGGTGGAATTATGATGACCGTGTTAATAAATATAAGAATGAGATAATAGTTGAGGTTTTTTAATAACCTACTTCATTAAAGATATTTTTGTCAATGACTAATTTTATGGACTTCTGGCCTTAAAGTGTTGGCGGTGGTGATGGTGGTTTAGGGGGGAGGGGG